GTGTTCATTCCAATGGTCTACTGGGTGCACAAGAATGCACCACTGGCTCAAGGTGGCCCAATGTCATATCAGAGAGGACCTTCAGTACATCCTAGGGGATTAGTGACTGAGACAGTCTCAGGATCACAGAGGGCTACCAAACACCATCTGTAGAGTTTACTGATAAATCAATAGCTTAGCTAAGGCAAGGCCAAACATTTTTGGGGTATATAGGGTAATGGCAGTGTGGTTGTGGTGCACATGAGGTGAGGGTGTGATGTGTTTTGGGTGCAGTGTTTTTACTTTTTTGTCATTCTTTGTCAGAATATGTTTTCTCTATCACAACTAAATCACATTGTCAATATGGCTGCTCTGAACCCACCCTTTTAGAGCAAGGGAGCTGGCTTATCCAAGAACCCCCTTATTGGCCCTTCTAAACCAGCTGACCTAGGCAGCGCAAAGATTAGGCAGTGCATTATGGTTAGTATGGTAAGTACGATCTGCCTGTCCAAGAGGAGCAGATTGTACGTTTTTTTAATTACTTTACAACCATCGCAAGACTAAGGTCTTGCGATGGTTGTAAAGTGTATGGCCACCTTCAGGTAGGACTTTTTACTTTTGAAAATGGAGTACAGGTTTACTTTAAGGACTTCTGGCAACTATGATAAGGTTCTACTATACACATGTATGAATGAGGCCAACAATTCGCAAAAGCTTACTGCCATCTAGTGTCTATGAGTTATGACGCAGGGAATATAGATCATAAAATAAAAGGCTTTCATTTTTTCTCTACTGGAATTCATTACTTACAGTTTGGCAGAATATATACTCACAGTGCACTTCAAAAGCTCAAAAAATATAAAGATTGTTAAGCTATTGCCCATCACTGACTACGAATACCAGTACATTCACTGCTGCCATCTGGTTCAAGTCCCTAGACAAGAGAAAAAGGGGGCGTTGTTTGGGACTTTGCAGGTTGGGAGCCTGAGACTACTGCTAACATCACTTTGTCCTTATGGCAACCTTTTCCTAATGAAAGTATGGGGAGTACCATTGCTCGCCTAAAAAGCTAGTTGTATGGCTGTTATGCTGATCCTCTGACTCCTAACATGTACATACACTGAGTGGCCAGATTATTATGACCACCCCATCAGTACTTCGTTGGGCCATGAGATGACTCCACGAGATGTTGAAAGGTGATGCAAGGAATCCGACACTGCACTGTTGCCCTTCTGTTGTCTTGTACCAGTCTTGCCACTCTCCGTTCTGCCCTAACATTGACTAGTCGCTGAAGGCCACAATTCGCACGTTCAGACCCAGATTTTCGGCTGACAGTCCAGTCTTTAAACACTTTAACAACAGCTGCTCTTGAACATTTAACGAATTCTGCTGTTTTGCTGATACTCGATCCATGGCTCCGAGCGCCAACAATCATCCCACGTTCAAAGGCTGTTAGATCGCGTTGTTTCCCCGTATCTTCAGAAAAACAAATCACTTCTACTGTCGTGGTAAACAACCTGCTTCCCTATTTATAATGGTCTGGCCCTCTAGCAACTTCAGCGCAAAATTATAGCTAATTTGCCTACAAACGTCAGGTGGTCATAATAATCTGGTCACTCAGTGTATATCAGGACACTCAAAGCAACATGAGTAGGCCCTATTGACATGCTTGTCCTGGGTTAGCATTAAAGCAACAATGAGAAGTCAGCAATGGTGGCCTCTGTTTTTTCTTTCAGGAAAAGTGTGGGTAACCCCTGAACTAAATGATGAACTTCTCTTATTTGCTCCCTTTTGGTGTACAAATATTTTTATTGAGGAAGAACAGAAATACATTCCATCCAGAAGGAAATAGTACCAAAAGGTTCATGCGGTAAAACATTACTTTACATCAATAGAACGGCTTAATGGTGGGTTACAGTGGGACAGCTGTGTGAAAGCCAATGAAATGCATCAATATAAATCCAAACAGAACATGTTAACTGAAGACAACATAAATCCCCCCTCCCCATAAGCCTTAATGAGCAGAAGGAGTTTGACTCTGCTAATCCAACATCTGGATCGGCTTAGCCGAACCTCCAGCAGGCTACTCTAAGGATAAGAGAGGAGTACATACAAAGAGAGAGGAAAAAAGAGAAGAAAAGAGAAGAAGAAAAGAGAAAGAAAAAAAGAAAAAGGGGGGCGCACGCACAGGGAATTGGGGGGGGCCACGTCAGCCAATCAGCTCACGCGTAACAACCCAATGGTCTTCGCATCCTGACACGCGGGTTTATACGAGCGAACCGATTGGCTGAAGATGAAATTTTTCATCTTGAAACACTCAGCTATGTGAGCTCTAGCAAGCTGACATGCCGGAGCGAAAATTGCAAGACACACTGCATGTGTGCCGCCACTTCCCTTTGGATGCAGTGTGTCACGGGCTTTAGCCTGTCTCCTCCTCTGCTCTATGGTGAAATATCCCTCAGCATCTTCTCATCCTATACACTGTACAGGACATGGCCACTTACTGGATACTGGACCTTAGACTGCTGGAGTGGAGGGAGAGCAAGGCTGAAGGCACTTGTCTAACAGTGAGGCGAGGGCATTCACCGACCTTTTGTGACGTATAGCTGCGGGGTGTGGAATGCGCCTGCCGCACCTTATTGGGCCTGTAGAGGTTGGTGGTGAACACAGTTTTCAGTGGGCTTGGGTGTACTCAGGTGAACTGGGTTCACACCAAGCCCTGGCTCATCACTTGTCAGACTTTTCTAGCAGACCGGTCAGGTAAAGACTAAAATTGAGCATTTCATAGGCTATGCCCAAGGTCAGTTTAAATGGACAGCCAGACAAATGGCATTTTCAGAAGCTCAGAAATGACAAGCCCCATATTTCTCTAATGACAGGTTTCCTATACACTAGTACCATTCACAGGTCACTTGACTGATGGCAACTCACACTTTGCAAAGGCTTGCTGCCACCTAGTGGTTGTAGGTGATACTGATATTAACAAATATATAGACACACACACACCACACACACACACATCATAGTTTGCAAGTAGGGTTGCCACTTTTTCTTCAAGTGAAACCCGAACACTCTAGCAACATGCGGGGATTTTTGGGGGGAGAATGAGTCATGGCTTATTCAAATGTAAATAGTGCCACCCATTCATACGTAAATATCACAGTTGAGACTATTTTCAGTGGGGGGCCAGTAGCCCCTGTCTTAATTTTGGTTGCCCCAGTCTGTCTGACATCTTGTGTCCGGGTTTTAGCTGCCATGAAACCCGGACACAGCATTCAAAACCCGAACTGTCCAGGTGAATCCTGGACAGGTGGCATCCCTATTTGCAAGTGTTGAGGATCAGTGCTGCCCCCTTTAATGGAGTTCTAAAGTCCCAGCATACACTCTCCTGTTATAACATCAGCATTGTAATAGGAATACACACTGGAGATGTGTCTGATAATGAAATCAAAGCTTACTTGTATAAATCCCTTTTATGTAGTGAGCGCTGCCTTCCATCTGCCCATCACTTTCATCAACTTCCTGGATTCCCAGCATGCTTTGGCTTCTTTCCCTGCTGTTTGATGTGATGCAATCTCCATTTCTCAAGACTACATATCCCATCGTGCATTGCTTCCAGCAAGTAATGATAAAGTTACATTGTTCAGATGACAAATCAAAACAGCTCACAATCAATGTAAAGAAACGGAGAAACCAGCCATTTCCCTTGAAATTATACTTCACTTGATTAAAGTGTACCCCAAACTTCTTTATCTTCAGTTTTCAATAGAATGGGGAAAGGTCGGAACCCCTGTCATGTTTTGCTGTTGCAAAATCTGCAACAGGGAACATACAACAATAAAGAATTGTATTTTTACTTGTGTCGGTGGTGCTATTAGAGATTTCCCCTCACTTCCTGCACTGGGTTCAACCTTATTACCAGACAGGAAGTGAAGGAATCCCTCCAACTGCAGTAAACCCTGACAGAGGTTCTAATTAGAGATGCACTGATACCAGTTTTTCAGTATCTAGTAACAATATATTTTTTTGGTACTCGCCAATACAGAAAGTCCCATTAAGGAATCCGGGTGGCGTGTAATGACTTGCCACCAGGCTTCCTGATTAGCCGGGAAGCCAGGCGGTGTGTAATGAGCCGGGAAGCTTTCTCCATGCTCCCTCGTCACCAAAATGGTCCGGCACAAAGTGGTGAGGGAGAATGGAGACGGCTTCCCAGCCAATCAGGAGCATGTAATGACTCGCCGCCCGTCTTCCTGATACTAGAAATTCTGGTATCAGGATAGGTATCAGGAGCATTTGGGCGAGCACGAGTACTCGCCCAATTACTCGGTATCGCCATTTCTAGTTCTAATCCTTCTCCTCTTGTTCCAAAAGGAAACAAATGGTGTAAAATGCATGGAGCTCTTAATCCTATGAAACTGCATGTGCATTTGTCCTGTTCAAAAATGAGTGTTAGTAGCATATATTATTTGCAGGTTGAATGCAATATCAGGAAAGTACATTATGGCCACTAGATGGAGCTGAGGAGCACAGGACATAAGTATTTATTCCCACTAACCCTTGGCTCCATCCAGTGGCCATAATGCGGTACTTTCCTGATTCAGTTAAGTTCAGAGGCAGGCAACCGCGGCACTCCAGCTGTGAAGAAACTACAAATACCATAATGGTTTTGCCTTTGGGAGTCATGCTTCTGGCTGCCATGGTCTTGCAAATCCTCATGGGACTTGTAGTTCCAAAACAGCTGGAGAGCGGACGTTGCCTACCCCGCATTATTGAATCACCCTTGGGTTTTGGGCACATTTGTATGTAAAAAATGTTGATCGGTGTGAAAAGAGACAAATAAAAAAAAAGTCCAGACAGGGAGCAGGGGAACTAGGATGTGTTTTGCTTTGCGTCAGGCTGGTGGAAGGTTCTCTTTGAGAGGCCAGCCGAGGGGAAGTCCGCCGCGATGTGGCAATTTCCCGCATTCCTCACACATCACATCATCTCCCGCCCTCTTTACTCGTCACTTCCTGGACCTCCCCGCCGCCATTTTAGTTCCTGGAGAAGGCGGAAGCGCCGCCATCAGCTCGAGCTGCCTGTTGTGCAATTGGCAGTACGCAGAGACTCTGTGGGCCTCAGTCGCCATCATGCCGTCCACCCCGCTCAGAGTGGCCGTGGTGTGTTCTAGCAACCAGAACCGCAGTATGGAGGCGCACAACATTCTCAGGTAACTCCGGACGACGCCTTAATGGCCGCCACGGCTCCCTCTCTTGTGCTATGACATGTGAGGGGCCCGGGGCCCCTTACAGAGAATTCACTACCAAAGAGAACCTGTCACCTATCAGCTGTACACATTGAGATGTTTTACCTCAGAAGCCACAAAGCTCAGAGTGGCTGCATATGGCCGGAGTCAGGTCACAGAATGCCTCCCCTCTACCTGGGGTGGTTACCTTCAGGCCTATGAGGGCGACCAGGTTCCTGACTGGAAGGATTTACACCTTCTGAGGGGAACTTATCCAAACTGGAGCAGAGAGAAGCTGTTTGGTTGCTATGGGCAACCGCTCTGGATTCTGTCTGCTCCAGTTGTAATTGCTACATTTTCTGTTTAAAATCAATTAAAACACATGTTAAGGCACTGTGCATCCATGTGTCATAACATGCGTGTTGCTGTGTATCTAAAGGTGTTACTTGGCATTTAATGGGTCTGGTTCATCTATATGCATCGCAGTGCATCATAGGTAAATAGGTCAGGTATGTGGGGTCTTTTCACCTGTTGATGTGTGTTGTGGGACCTATAGAAGTCTTGTGGTGCATGAAAATGCATGTAATACGGTCCATTTCCCATAACGTCTTCCAGGACAGCATCACAAGTGCTGCAAATGCACGATTACAGAGACCCATGTGTTAAATGGCCGGCTCTTCTAACCTCTCCCCACCAGCTTCACGCTTGCTTATGACACTGCGGCAGACACAGGCTGGCAGTGCCACGAGGGAGCATGGAGCTGGCTTCCTGGCCAATCAGGAAGCTGAGCAGCGGGTTATGAGGGTTCTATGTGCCCTGTTACCACCGTAACTCGGTGTCATGCATACAAATGCAGCATGTCTGCATTTTAACACAGCACTACTTGTCATTGTGATGCCCTGCAATGTATGGAGTTGAATGGAATGTCATTTTGTGACCTTTCAAAGTTGAAAAAAAGAGTTAAACTGTGCAATGCATTGCAACAAATTGTGGTTAGAGGAGGCCCCCCCCAGAGGTAAGTAAGCCAGATGGGGGTTGTAGGTTGGCTCAGGATCGCTAGGGTAGGGCATTGTTGGGATCCACCCTAAGTGACGACTGGCTCTGGGGGCTCCTCCCCTGTCTTTCCCCCAAGTGAGCGCTGGAGGGATAGACAGGTAAAGGAAGGATCCCTGCAGGGAACGGTGACAGTCATTGCTCTCTGCAGGGAGGAGACAATGAGCTGAGCAGTCACTTCATTGCTCAGCTCTCGGTATAGAGTTGGCGTGTGACAGCTGCAGTGTCTAATGCCAACTGTGACCTTACCCTCCCTGCACTTCTTCTTTAAAGGAGAACTATGGGGTCACTGTTTTTCTCCTTAGGGTAACGGGAGGACACAAACTAGCGTCCTCCCGTCACCCAAAGCTCAGTATACCGTGAGCTACAGCTCACGGTATACTGAGACGCCGGAGCAGATCCTGACATCTATGTCGAGATCCGCCCAGCTGCGTGAGTGACAGCTGGCTCTGCCTATCTAGAGGCAGAGCCAGCGGTACCCGTCCCGTCCGTTCCTCCAGTCAGCGCTGGTGGATCGGGGAGGGGGGAATCCAGCCCCTCCCCTGTCACGTCACAGAGCCGTGACAGGATTGAGAAGTGAGCGAACACCGGTATGTGTTCACTCACTTCCCGATAGTTCTCCTTTTAAATACTTGAAGACCAGGTGTTTAGACCCCCTTCCTGTCCAGGCCATTTTTCAGTATTCAGCGCTGCGGTACTTTGACTGACATTTATTGCGTCATGCAACGCTATACTGAAATTAATTTTATACAATTTTTTGGGGGGGGCAGATAGAGCTTTCTTTTGGTGGTATTTAATCATCACTGCGAGTTTTATTTTTTCTGCTATATTTAGGTAAAATTACAGAAAATGTTGAGAAAAAAAAAGTTCTTTTACATTGTTAGGAAACTATTATTATTATTACCCAATTATTTTGGTAAAATAGACACCAAACATGTCAAGCTTAAAAATTGCGCGTGCCCGAGAAATCGCAAAAAAACTACCATACCCAAAATTGACCATAGGCTACGCTTTAAAAGCTTTTACCGCTCATCAGTTTAGTGTTATCAGTGATTGATGGTCCTAAAATTATTGCTCTCACTGCGACGTTCGCGGCGATATGTTACATGTGCGGCGTAATGGGCGAAATCGTCGTTTTCGCAGACATGCGCACCTGACGCATGTTTACATGCGTGTATGGGTGGGGACTTTAAAAACATTTTTTTCATGTCTAACTTTAACTTTTGTTTCGGAAACTTACATTTTCCTATCTTTTTTTTTTTGTCATTTAACTTTATTGCTATCAGATACGGGGCTAAGAAACCCCCTTATGTGATAGCAAAATAAGTGACAGGTCCTCTTTATGGAGACATCAGGGTTCTCCAAGACCCCTAATGTCACCTAGGACCCCCTTGAAGAAGCACAGATCTGCTTCATCAGCTTCTCTCCAGCATCTGAAGCTGGAGAGTAGAAAGGCATCATGGCACACGTTTGTTTTGCTTTGAAGCTGGAGAGTGACACGAGAATGCGGAAGTGATGTAATATACATCACTTAGGTGCGGCGCGCACGAGCGGGAATGACGCAACATTTAAAAACAGTTAAATACTTGTTATCTCTAGGGGTAGAGGAATAAGCTTTTCTCACTATGGCAGGCTTCCAGTGCTTGCCTCTTCTCCGATGCTTCGGGTTGCTAGCAGTCCTGCATTGTAGGTGATGACATCTGAGTTTGACTGACGGCCAGAGCGCTGAAGAGAAAAGGCTTTGGGAAACCTGTTGCTTAATGTGGACGAAGGCAGCCAAAGCGAGGAATGATGTAAGCGTTACGCCCTATTTCTCTACTCCTAGATTAATGATCACTTAACCCTTACAGTTCATGGAGGCCACAAAGTAGATCTCTAGAAAAAAATATGGATTGATTCTGCCATAAATCCAGTAAACTTCTTCAAATCTGCTTGGGGCTTCTGGGCAGCTGGGGCAGTATGTTGTCAGTTCTAACATACACTTTTTACAATTGTCTGTAGCACCCTTGTAACATTGGTATCAGTTGAAACTGAAACTTTAGTCAAGGCTGTCCATGAACTGAAACTTTAGTCAAGGTTGTCCATGAACTGAAACTTGCAGTTTTTTTGTTTCTGTTGCAGAAAGCAGGTGTTCTGCATTTATAAATAACACTAATGGACAATCCACTTAATTCCCCTGACTGCAAAGAATGCTGTGTCTAAGAGCTATTACGCATCAGCCCCAGTGCATTCCAGCACGATTCGGTGCCTGAACGCACTGGATCGCATCCCGGCCGGTCACCATTGAAAGAATCTCTCACCTGATGTATGCCTAAGGCCCTGGTAAGAGCGGGCAGTTGATCCACGTTTTTACCTCACTCTTCTCCGAACTGCCTAACTAAAATATAGTGGCCGCTCATACTTGTAAACATGTCATTTTAAACAGCCCTAGGCAGGTGGTGCCTCTTGCTATATGGGACCATGCCACAACAAAGTGGGTACTCGGCTGTGGCCTGATATTGCAATAGAAAATCCTTATTGGGATAAAAAAAGCATTCAGGAGGCAGCTATATGGTCTAAACGCACCAGCCGCTGCTCTACCACATCTTTGAAGTGATCCACCTCAAAAAGCTTTTTGGAGGGGTGGTGGAGCCTGTCTGAACAAGGCCTGAGGCCACGTTCACACTGAGCGATTTATCGCACGGTAATTCCCGAGATATCGCGGCTATTTACCGCACGATATCGCTCTCCAATGCATGGCAATGGGGCAAAGGGTCCCGCTGTCGCGGGTCGTGCGTTGCTACAGCAGGACCCTTTTTGGAGCGGATTTTGCCGCGATTCAATGCTTTTCAATGCAAGCATTTGCACGATATTGCGTGACAAATCGCACGACAAACATGCGATTTGCGAATCGCCAAGTGTGAATGGGGCCTTAGTGTGAGCAATTTAGACTTGTGAAATTTTAGCTTCACTTGCTGTGTATACAGTTAGGGTTCTTCACTGTGAAGAAAAGGAATACCAGTCCTTTCAAAACTTGGGTCTAAACACACCATTTTCTGCAGTCTCTAATGGTAGAGCTTTTTGATCTCAAAATAAAACTTGTTAAACTCTTCTGGTTGTTCTGGAGGTATAAAAGGATACAGTTGTCTGTTCCTGCCCAGGCTTGGTGTAAACGGGTGTCTGTGATCAGTTAAGGTCAGTAGGAGATGCCGTGTAATTTTATTAATATTGACTCTAGATGGAGAAAGCAAAGTACGAACTGATCTGTAATACCCATGTTTAGTAGACCTAACGACTGAGGATGCACAAATGCAATTTTTTTGGTATTGAGTATGGATATTTAAGTTTTCGGTACTTCCGGTAGCATGGAGCCAGCTTCCCGGGCAATCAGAAACCGCGCACCGTGTCATTACCCAACGTCCAGCATCTTGATTGCTTGGGAAGCCTGCTCCATGCTGTTTGGCCGGCTCCATGTTTCCCGGCCAAGACAGCTCCATGTTCCCTCGCAGCACTGCCAGTCAGAGGAAATCTCCCTCTAACCGGAATTTCAGGTATCAGGGAAGGTATCGAAGCAAACTCTCTGTATCGGTGCATCCCTTCTAACGACCATTAGGTGTAGGGGTAGGGTGGTCATGGTTGTCGTCCTGCAATTGATCAGTGATGTACAACGTGGATAAGCTTGTTGGTACCCTTCCACACAACAAAAACAACCGACGGATTTCTTTTGAAATAACGTTAAACTGACCTTATGCTTTATTCCAGTGTTTTTGAACCTTTTTTGTGCAAAGGCACACTTTTTTCATGAAAAAAATCACGAAGTTGAAAAACGCTGCTTTATTCTATGACATACCAAATGTTTGTGGATGTTTGTGAGACAATTGCTTTGAATTTCATCACGTTTCACGAGGAATAAAGCATTGGTTCAATGAGCTTTAAGATTACCAACAGATTTT